AATGATCCCTGAATCTATGTCAGCTACCTGTTAGGTAGCCAGATTTGGATGTCTTTCCTGCACTTAAAACTCAACATATCTAAAACTCACCAACAACAGCCTCTGGTGCTACATTATTCACACACACCTTTCCACCTATGTCTTGAATGGTAATCCCATCCTCCCAGTTATACAAATAAACACTCTGGCAATCATTGTCAAAGCATTTTATCCCTTATGATCAGTTAGCAAGTCTAGAGTCCTTTGCCTCCTAATTATTTCTGGAATCTGTCTAGTTCTCTCCAGGTTCAATGTATAAAAATACTGGTATAATAGTTTCTCTAGCTTCAGCAGGTAGGAAAGTGAATCAAATACAGCAGCAGCAGCCCATTTATGATTCATATTAGAAACAGTTTGGATATACATCCTTCCTCTTCTGTTTTTACTAGTCCCTCTCACAGCAATCTCTATTTCTCTGCTGGATCCAACAGCTCATTATAATGGCCACACCGAATTCCCAGACAATAATTCATGATTATGGGATGTATGGGATGGGGGTGGGGAGTAACAGGTTACAACCTTGGGATGAATAGGCTACAACTAGGAAATAGGATTAGGGGGTGTGGCAGTTAGATTTTATGTCAACTTGCACTTATGTAGGGTGGAGTCCAACTTGTCAACCAGGTCACAGCCTGATGATGTCTCCTAGGAGGTGTGACCTTTTTATGAGAGAGACACAAGGGATCCCTCCCCTCTCGCTGCCCCTGTGGCTTCCTCTTTACTGGCACTCTATGCCTGCCTCTCGGGGTGGCCCCATGTGGACTGCCCAACCTTGAGAGCTATTGGTACCCTGCCATGGTTCCACTTAGCTTTGATGCTTGCAACTCTACATCTTCTGGACTGTGATCTTCCTACTTTTTGCATCACCTTTCTCAGTCATCAGCTTTCAGCTATGTGAATCTTAAGAGGGCTCTGGCTAGCATCAAACCCACGGTCTTAAGTTGAACTGGGCTGGGATGCCTTCTTGATATAAAATTACTTTTTGATATAAAGCTCTTTCTTATACATATATGAGCATCACCAGTTTTGTTCCTCTAGACAACCCAGCCTAACACAAGAAGTATGCAAGAAATGTCTCCCTTCTTCAGTGTAGAACATCTCTCTTAGCTGCTCTTGAACTTTTCTTGACCCAAAAAGGACAAGCTCTTCGCACTACCTGCAGGAAAGGGTTTTTTTGGCCCCTTCAGGACAGGCCTCCCTTCTTTCCCCTTGGCCCCACTCAGGTTTGTCTGTTGCTCTGTTCAGGCAAGTGTTACACAAATCTTTAGCACAACCAGTAAGTACCCAGACCCACCCCAATTCCATCAGGAAGCTTCTTGCATGAAAGTACTCAGCCCCTTTCTGCTTCATGGGTTTGCAAGCCTACCTCTGTCAAATGCCCAGAGGCACTCTACTTCAATTGGAAGTTATGGAATGGCATACTCACTCTAACCACCTTGTTCTGTGGGCTAGGAAACCCACTGTGCTGTTTTATGCCAGCATTCTGGTTCTGCTGCTGCCACTTTGTCTACCACACTTTCTGCTGATTCTCTGCTACTGCACTTGCCACTGCTTCTTATCATCTCTGGTATTACAGATCTCTCTCTCTCTCTCTCTCTCTCTCTCTCTCTCTCTCTCTCTCTCTCTCTCTCTCGATCCAGGGGTCTAGGAGGTTCTCAGCTCAGTGACCAAAGGCTGTGCTCCACCTTTAGCTTTTCTTTCTTGGTGGGAGTGAGACCTTTTTTCTAGTCTCTCGAATTGGCACTTTGAAGCCTAATGATTTTAATCTAGGTAATCCGTATCTCTCCCTTGCATTACTGCAATCACTTTTTACTGCTCTTTCTGCCTTCAGTTTATGCCCATTACAGTATATCATCAATCTATTCTTCAAACAGCTGCCTCAATATATCCTTTTTAAGGGCTAGATATGGACATACTATTCTCTGATTACAACTCTGAAGGGGCTTTTCATTGCCAGTCTTCTTAACATGGCTTAATTTACAAGGTTCTTTATAATCCAATCCCTGGTCCCCCAACCCAGCTTCATTTCTTATCACATGTTCCTGTTATAAAGAACTTTTAGTAATTCCTAGCTCTTTCTTATTGACAGTTGACCTTGTCCTTTGACATTTATACATGCCATTCCTACTGTCTGAAATAATTTCTCCCTCTCTTTTATCATCACCTTTACCAGGCTGAATACAATTCCAATATAATTATCAATATCAGTGTGTTTCAGCTCACTAATGTCTAATACATTCTATTTCATTTTTAATGACTTTCAATTTTCCTAGATCCATATTTCATACATTCAAATTCTTATTATTAATGAATGTTTGCAGCTGTTCATTCTCATTTTGAGCTATAGCCAATCAAGGTCCCAAATATATACACTTCATCCCTGTCATTAAAGACAGCTCTACTTTGAGGAGGGAGCTCTTCCCCAGTTGTATTTTGAATGTCTTACAACCTGAGGGAATCATCTTTCAGCACAATATCAGACAGTGCTGCTGTGCATAAAGTCTTCAGTTCATAATCCCTCAGAAGTGGACTATCTTTTCCTTCTTTCTGATCTGTCTCAATATTGAAGCTGCAACGAAGCCTGTCCACCATGGGTGACCCTGTTGGTATTTGACAAACTGCTGGCATATGTTCCAGCATCAGTGTGCAACACACTGACAAATGAGTGGTGGGACCATGTACATAGGCTGTACTAAATAAGCATTTTCTAGCTATTTTATAAAACAAACAACAAAAAAGAGACATCCTGGAATTCAAGTGCACCTGGGGCCTCAGAGTAGTTTTGACTCACTTCTCCTTCAGTCCCATCTATTTCCATTACCAAATACATTGGCCTCTGCAAAACTCCAAAGTTGAATACAAACAGTGTGGAAATAATTGCCAAAGCACAAAACACAGGATCCTTGATAGGACACATCTCCTGTGTACCTTTCCAGATGAATTTTTGTCACTATACAATGTACTTCATGCTAGATCATATATTGAAGTATATGTAGTTTTACCTCCCCCAAATCATACTTTATCGCTCATCTTCATGCTGGATGTTCATTCTAGATCCTCTTCCTAGAACGGCTGCCCCATTCCCATCTTATTTCTCTTCCAAACAAACAAACTCGCCGCCGTCAAGTCAACACTGATTTATTTTTTCTACTTAGCTTTTATTCACCTTTTCAATCTCAGTTTTGCCGTCAACTCTTGTAGGAAACCTTTTCTAAAACTTCCACCCAAACCCAGACTAAATAGCTACCACTCTTTGATAGGTTCATCGTGTTTTGTATATATCATTCTCTATCTAGCATGTTAATTTATAATCCATTTATGTGAACCATTCACATTAGAATGTGAGCTCCTCAAGCAAGAAACTAGCTGATTCATCCCTATATACCTAGTACCTAGCATAGTACCTCATCCATGTATGTGTTCAGCAAATGTTTATTTATTGAGTGGGTAGAGGGCAACATGTAGCTTTCTGGGCTTTTCTCAGCCCACTATCATTTTCCCTCTGAACAGTTACCCTGGAAAATCTCCTTTATTTTAATATTTCCAATTGGAACTAATCAAGATAATGTTATATACAAGGGACCAAAAATCCCAATATCCTGCCTTCGACTACAATAACCAATCTCAAGGCATGAAATTCTCAAGATAGTAAAATACACAAAGAATAATATAAAAGGAAAGCAAAGTTGTCAACTAGGTCTTTGTCCCAAAAACCTAATATGAGAATTCTGGTAAGCTAGAATCAACCAAAGGTCCTGGTGGCATAATGAGTTGTGAATTGAACTGCTAACCACAAAGTCTGAGATTCAAACTCTCCATCCCTTTCTCGGGAGAGAGCTAAGGGTAGCTAATTCTATGAAGATTTTAAAGTCTTGGAAGCCTAACGGGGCAGTTGTAGTTTGTGCTTTGCCATTGATGAGTCAGAATTGAGTCCATGGCAGTGGGGTGTTGTTGGGAATTACGAATTGCATTCTTCCTTCCCATAAATCCAACTGAACACATCTACCAGTTTTAGAGGAGCAGGAATAGAGAGCATGTTTTGAGAGCATGTTTGCCCTGGATGGTCACCGTCAGTCCAGCTGAGCCCTTTCTTGGATGATTTACCTCCAGCTATGTATCTGTCACATAGAAGAAAAGTGAAGAGAATAATCAAGGAACCGGTCCACTCTCATAAATATAAGGAAGGGAAAGGAAGCTGTCCAGACTTTTCAGGTTCTGAGTCTGGGTCTGTTGCTTCCATTTCCACACCCCATCCCAAATTTCTCACACACAGTTTCAAATGTAGTACCTGCTCTATATTGATGGCATACAACTCATCCTACCTTTCACTATAGGCAATTCTTTAATAGAGGCTTTTGTGTGTGTGTGTGTGTGTGTTTGTAATTGTTCTCCCGTTCCTGTCCCTGATAAGTGTACTAATAGGAAAGAGCCTGGGGAATCAACTTTTGCCACTGCTATAAGAAGCCATGGTTACACTGTTGGATAATCATTGAACTTCTAACTACGAGGTTGGCAGTTCAAACCCACCAGTCTCTCCATAAGAGAAAAATGAGGTTATCTGCTCCCATATTATCTACAACCTCAGAAACCCAGTATAGGGCTGTTATAAGTCAGAATCAACTAGATGGCAGTGGGTAAATAGCATGCCTCATGATATATTTTACCTGTTTGAAAATGGATTCCCTGATAAAAAGGAGTACAATGGTCTTTACTCAAAAAGCAAAATTGAGTACTCTACTCATAATAATTTCCCTTTTCATTTCAATTAATATTGTTTAGTATTTGGCATGACACCTATTTCATCAAAGCTCCTCAATTATTGTTCCATTTTTCTACTTCTTTTTACTTTCCTTCAAAGGGAATTACATTCTTTTTTTGGGGGGGGGAATTACATTCTTAAAGAGCTTTTAGAGTTCAATTGGGGGGGAAGTTTTTGACCCTGTGTTCTTTCTTTTCTGTAGTTTCAATTCTAGCAGAGACAGACGAGATCAAGGCTATCTTGAAGGACAAAGGAATTGATGTGGAAACTATTGCTGAGGTACACCCCATCAGAGTACAACCAGCTCGTATTCTGAGCCACATTTATTCCAGTCTAGGTAAGCAGATTGATCAATGTGCTAGATCAAACACATAATTTAATACATTTTGGTTTCGATCTTTCTTTTTAATCCTTTGATCTTTCATTGCTTTATTAACTGAATCTCAGGGGAAATTTAGTATCTCTGAAATCCAAGCTTCGAAGTCTATATACCCTTGACAGGTTTGTTAGTTTTAGATGTGCTACTTACCCTTTAAGATTCCCTGGTGGGGTGGTTGGTTACACATCAGGCTGCTAACCACAAGCTTGGCAGTTAAAACCCACCAGCCACTCTCCAAGAGAAAGGTAAGGCTTGTTACTCCCCTAAAGATTTATAGTTGAACAAAGGATGACACTCAAATGACTAAAAAGCACATGAGAATATGTTCTCATTCACTAGCCATTTGGGGAAATTCAAATGAAAGCAGCCAGCCATGAACTACTAACACTACCATTGTAGCCCAACTTAAAAAAACAAAACAAGGAACAACAAATGTTGGAGAGAGTGTGGAGCGATTAGAACACTTCCTGTACTCATTGTTGTTCATGTAATTATTTTTTTCTAATTGTAGCAAAAATATACACAACATTCTTCATTTACACAACTTCTATATGTACAATTTAGTACCATTGATTATATTGTTCACATTTCACCACCATTATTAGATCCTTTCCCAAGTGATTCCACCACC